CAAAATGAAATTATCTACTAGGGGAGAAGCAGCCATACTGTGGATATGGAACTGAGTAGGAGAGATAGAAGAAGCCTGTTGGCATTCTGAATCTGTCACATCAGTTCTGAATTATCCACGTTTGCAACTTCTCTTTTTATGAAAAAAGGAAAACCCTATTTGATTAAGTCACTGTTTCTATAACATGTAGTCAAATGCAATCCTAACCAATAAGGAAGTATGCAAAAATAGAAGGAAACAAAATCCAGTATATGTAGACTACACCATATTGCATCAGTCTGGCACCATGACTGGTGGATGCAAACACAATTCCGTGCTTCGTGCATTCATTGTGTAAGGTTATGCTGTTCCATCTAGCAGCAGTGCCTGAGCACAAACCTACCTGAACTGTATAGCAGATATATTTCAGCTATGCTACTACAACAAAGATTTGGCAAATTATATAGCCTGTTGGGCAGATTTGACCTGTGGCCTGTTACTGTACAGACTGTAAGCTGAGAGATTTTGTTTTCTTCCTCCTTTTTAAAGGTTTTCAAAACAAACTGAAAAATAAATAAAAACAAAGAATATGCAACAGAGATCATATGGACCTTTAAAGCCTAAATATTTACTATCTGGTCTTTACAGAAAATGCGTGCTGACCCTTGTAGAAGGACAAGACAGAGAAGAGTCCAGTTTGCAAATATTGCTTAGGCCATTTTTATTATCCTTTGTTGGTCAATGAGTCATTATGTCCAAAACATGACCTGTGACGGAAGAACTCACTCAATGATTCTTTGACGAGGAATGGGCAGGAAATAGGGAAGAAGGTTGAATAGCATGGCTAATACTTTCCTTTCTTAAAAAGAAAGAATCTAGTTTTAAGTATAATGATGTCAGATATCCAGAAAATATCATACATCAGCTGGAGCCAAGTGTTGAAAAAGAAGTATCATTAAGCATTCCACAGAAAATTCTAGAAGGAATTAAATTTTGAATACCTCAGAAGTGCCTTTTAAGAAGATGTTCCTGTTACAGGTGGTACCAAGCTTTCATTCTCTAACTAAACACTTCCACTATTTATTTTCATTCCCATCACATGCTATGCTAACAACACTGGGTTAAAAACCATGAGTAGAAAGATAGTGATTTCCCTGATTTTCTATTCTCATTGCCTATAGAACCTAAAACTGGTGTTAGTATTTATTTAGACACTTGAAAAATTATTTTAAACAATACGCAGAAATAAAGGCTTTCATTTTTATGACTCAAAGTCCTTTCTCATACACAATGGTAAGATTATAAATTATTAAAATTTTCCAGTTGTGTATTTTAGATAATTCTTCCCAACATGAAATCAGCTTAGTTGTAAGTCAACCTCGTACAACAGTTTTCTATGTGTATTGCTGTTAGCGAACTTTAACTCCTGCTTCATGAATGCTAGAGAATACCCTAGAGCCTGGGAACAAACAAACACAGAAGAGAAGGAAAACATGGACTTGATAAACTTTCAGATTTCTAAATATCTAAATTTTATTTAGTTTCTAGGATTTCTTATTGTTCTGTACATATGTTTTCCTTCTAAAGCATTTTATAAGTAAAGCTTTTCTTCTTGCTAAACAATATCCATTTAATTCCTGTTAGAATTTTGTCACTTCAGAGATTTCACAATGACACAATAAATTCTATGCTACAGTGGTCTTTCTATCATTTTAAAGCTAAGTGGATTTCCAGAAAAAATAACTATTGCATCAGCTGTTTTTCTCTAATATTTTGAAGATACAAAATACTTTGTCTTCAAATCAAAGATGTTAAAATACTTTTGTTCGTATTCTGAGCACAAAATTAACCTTCCTAAGAATCAGTCTCCAAGGTTTTCCATTATTAATATTTATCTTTCATATCAAATGTATACATTCATATAATTATAAAATTATGCAATTATTTTATGTAGATTAGTGAAGACTGCATGTGAATATCATAAAACAACACATTACAAAGTACTGTGATTACAGAAAATGATAATGGTGAACATCTGGATTGAGAAATTTAAATTTGCAAAAGACTGATATTTTCATAAAGCTTTTTTTTCTATGCATGTCTGAATTTCAACTGGTATTGACTGAAACCATTTATATGGAACAGGCTAATCAAATATAAATCTAAATATCTTGAACAGATTAAATGAATAAAACAGTTAGAAAATACAGTTATTTCTCTGTCTTTGTTATGTGGCTAATCAATAAAGAGCAGTTTCAATGTTGCCTTTAAGGATATTCAGCAATGTTAATGTTAGAGGATAAAATACGAATGGCCAAAGTGAAGAAACATTTTAAATTTGAATCCATCAAATGTTATTGGAGAGAAAAGGACTATATGCTTAAACTGCCAAAAATATCTTGAGCAGGTATGAATTTTATTTTACAAACTAAGTAAGCAGAATATCAATCTCTATTTTTAATTAACTGACATTCTATTTCCAATTTGAGGCCTCTGTCTGCTAAAAACCCCTAATCTCTGTGAACTGAAGGACCCCCTTATTACACAAATTCAAGGTGGTATGTACCTTATCGGCAGGGCGGTTGTTCAAATATTTAACAGAATTGCAGTGGGACTTTAACCATTTTTAGTAGATGCCTAATCAATCAGGGTGAATACTGCTCAGTGCACACAGGCCTGGTCCACTGGTGTGGGCCTGCTGGGTATCTGCCATGATTTTAGAGACATGGAGTGGGCATAGGAGGAGGGCGGAATATTTGTCATCACCTACTTTGACATGCATTGAGAGGTCTCTTTTCTCTCTGGACTTTACCTACTGACTACACAGATTAGTACTTCCCCTTTAGACACAAAATATCTCCAGTCTGATTCTCCACTGAGCTCCCTCTTGAGCACAAAGGGAACATCCTTGTTCACCATTCTTCACCAGCATGAAGGAGACTTCGGCCTAGAAGTGCCATGCTACCATTTCTTCTCAACTACTATCGCATTGTGCCAGTCACACAGTTCTATGGCATTTCTCCTCCACTCTGGCTTTCCTGCATATGAATTCTGCAAATCTATGTCATGTCCTTGTTTTTTTCTCCATCACAGAATTCATGGGAGGATCAGGGCAGAATGTGAGACCCCATTACCAAAATTAAAGAACCCTGACTCTTACTCTGATTATGCTATGGCAGTCTTCCCTTGTAGCTAAAGAGGAGAGAATTTCATTTCTAGATAGTACTTGAAAAGGAGAGGGCTAAAGCTTAAAGAGAGTTGGGATATTGAAAAGTGGCCTCACTATTTGTATAATGTAGGACCAAACCATTTATTATTGTTGTTTTTCCACATTCCTATATCTCTTCATTCATATGCACAATACTGAGATTTATCTTCCCTTTTCAAACACCTTTATTAAGATGTAATTGACATGACATAATTTGCCCATTTAAAATGTGCATTCCTGTGTTTTAAAACATATCAACAGAGTTGTGCAAGCATCATCACAATCTAATTTAAGAACATTTTCATCAACCCCCAAAAGACCATATATTCAATAAGAGTCATTCCTCATTCCCTTCCCTGTGACGCACCTTACCTAGCTCCTGGCAACCTCTCTCTGCTTTTCTATCTCTATAGATTTGCCTATTTTGCATCTTGTATATGAAGGGAATCATAAAACATGTGATCTTTTTTGATGAGCTTCTTTCCCTTAGCATGTTTTCCAGGTTCATCCATGTTGTAGCATGCATGAGTCCTTCATCCCTTTTTATTACCAAATAATATTCCTCTATATGGGTTTATCACAATTTATGCATTAGAATTTTTCCTATGAATCTTTTATTTTTAACTTATCTGCTGAGAACCTTGTCTATGCTGTAAGGAGTCTAATAAAGAGTTTTGAAAGGATTTTGGGAGTTAACTAGCGAAATTGGCAAAAATTAGAAATGTAGCAGTAAATGATTATAACCTCTTCATGCGGAAAAAGCGATCAGCTCAAAATAAAGAGAAGCAATTCTTGTAAATATTCAAGTATTCACTGTTTGAGAAACCTTAAAAAGACTGTAGAACATAAAGGAAATTAGTAAGCATTTGCCTCTAACAGCAAGATTTTCTTCAAAACTGTCTGCAAGACTTGAAAACGGATAAATGAAAATGGAAAATGGAACCAATAATTGTTATTTCAACATTATCAAGCAATGAAGATGATGTATTTTTTTTTTCACATTAATTTCATACAACTATGTGGTTACTCTGGGGATGATATTGACATGTCAGCATACCCGGTTGCCTGAGGAGCACAGGTTGATATGAGAAGTTCTAGAAATATCACTACCAATATTCAGGGGAATGTTCATACCCCTTATGATAAGTGGGTATTAAAAAAAGTGGGCCATATGTAGCTATGGTCATATTATTATTTATAATTTTGTTATAGTGGTATTTGTAATATGGAAAAAGCCTTCAGTGGATTCCAAGTTATACTAGTACAATTATGATTAGGATTCATATATACTAAGGGTTTCTGAATGTGATATTATAAAGACAAATATCCTAACTCTATGAATGGATAAAGTTTCTATCTTTCAGTCTAAAAGGAAAATATGTTCAATTATATGTGTAGTGCCTTAAAATATTAATAGAAATAACATAGGAATTAAAGCTTGATTTCTTCAATATTCCTTCTGTCTCAAAAGGTGTGAGATAATTTATTGGGGAAGGTCTTTTCCCTTTTAGTTCTATATTTTAAATAATTTTTTTCTCAAGTCATTTTTTTCTAGTGTTAACACAATCACAATGAAATAATTAACCTCACATTTTCTTCCTTTCGTAAGTTAATTCACACTCCAAAACTGCATTTTAGGCTCTCTTTCACATACTCATATTTTTAAAAACACAAACAAAAGTTTTCAAATTTCTTAGGCTATTTGGGAAAAAAAAAAAAGAATGATCTAGAACAGCAGTCATCTGTGAAAACAACTGACATTTAGTTTGACATGTAAGATAAATCCGAATGGCATGAGAACCTTTCTACTCACAGGTATCTAAAGACTCGTCTGAATCATCAGGGCAGTCAGGGTCCCCATCACACAGCCAGCTCTGGGAGACACAAGTCACATGATCGTGGCAAAGAAATTCACCAGGATCACACAACTGCTGATCTGAAAATGAAAATGTTTCGAAATAAAATATGAATGATCTGAACATGGGCAGAAGGAGCAGTACAAAGATGAAATGTGAGAAAGCAATACATAAAAGGTACATGAATATGATCCACATTTTCTGTTCAGCAACAAAGACAAACCAATTATTTTTCTTAATGTTAACTACTCAGCTCAAACACACAATTTTAACACACTTGACTTTGTTATAGGTTCACACAATCTGTTCTGGAAATAGTCAAAAATTCTGTTTGTGTTTATGACTCGGGGCTTTATCGGATCAAAGATGGAATATAGATATTTCAGCAAGTAAGTTTTATATAAGATGTTGAATCAAAGCAGAGGCTCTTGAGCATAGAAATTTTAGTTTCTCAGCTCCGAGAGAAAGAAAAAATCAGTTGAGTTAAATATTAATATTATAGTTAAAAATCCATTTCTGAGATTCAGTTCTTAACTATCCATCCTGATACTGGGACTTCGTGTCTCTACGTGAGTTGGATACCCAATATCACAGTATTTTCTTTTCTTTTTTGCCATGACTTCCAAGGTGACAACTTCTGCTACTAGATGGCAGAAGTGATAGTAAACTTCCATAAGGTTTTTTTTTCTAACTCAGATGTTCTACAGTTGGTTGTGACTAAAATGTCTGCTGTTTTCCTTCCTTTGTTTCAGGATATTTGATATCTGCAGCCTTCCCTTAAGTCCTCTCAAACTTGTCAGATGTTTGTTTTTTCACAACATATTTACTTATACCATGTGAGTCCCTTTAAAAACTAATTCTTCTCTACATCTTAGTATGCCTGAAATAGGAATGTTTCTTACAATCACGGTCTCTGAATGTGAAGAAGTGTTAGGAATATCTTAGCCATTATATTTCACTGGTAATTTTGTTATGTGTACATAAAAATAACTTAAGATAAAAAAAAAAAAACCAACATTAAATAGCTGTCGGTGAGCTCTTTCAATAAATATCAAATAAAAATTTTAAGTGATATGAAAGCATTAGGCCATAACTTAATTGACAATTTTGCCTGAGCAATATGGAAAATAATACTACATATTACTCTCAGTGGTATCCTAGATTTGATTTAATATGGTACATATTTCCTTTCTCTCCCTCAACTTCCCTCCTCCTGATACCAGCAGCATAAATTTCAGTAAGTACGCGTTACAAACACATATATCTTTAAAATCTACAGATGTGGGGTATAAGTGTAGCCTTTTCCATACTCAAGCTATAGCTATTTTATCCTATTATATTTTCATTAAGTTAACCACCAATAACATGCTCATCACCATCACTATCATAATGATTTTTTACATTAAGTTGCTTGAGCATACTTTGTATTTGGCCCCAGACTTGGTGCTGTAGAATCAAAGATGTAGAAGTCAGTCTTTGTCTTAAAGGATCAAATAGACTAGTTGTGTCTACAGATCTCATTCCCCAAAAAATGGTAAAAGAAGAGGCCACAGGAAGAGACAGGTTGAGACAAATTAAAAAAAAAAAATGTTTTGGGATGCCTGCATTCCTCTCAAGATGGGTGGGCTTTGGATAAGTGGAATACAGGACATTCCAGATAAAGTTTAAACAGTTACTAAGGTAATAACTATTGCGGTGCATTTGAGATAAAACACATTTTCTACTGAAATGGAAATGTCATTCAGGTTATAAGACCTGGGTTTTCCCCACCAAACAGTGGTGTGTGATATTTATAAGTATGCGTGAATGCTAGAGGAGGAGTGCTTACATTTTGCTTTAGGCTGTCACATAATTTTTGAAGTTAATGTAGAGAAAGAGCATGGAATAAAATTCAAATTATTTTACTTATAGATAAGGAGACCATATAATTTATCACCAAGCTGAGAGAGTTCTGAGACTGAAAGCAGGTTTATTAGTAATTACACTGGGACAACAGGTATAAACCAAGTTTATCCCAGAAAAGTCAGAATGGATGTTAATTTTATCTATAGCTACTTTGTGTTTGATCTATGATCTTGAAATGCTAGATTTTACCTCATTCCTCCTAAACCATAAAAAATTGTAATGTGGAGAGGGGGAAATGTCATTCCATAGGGTGTAACTCAGTGAATAATTGATTAAGTGCTTGCTGAAAATATAAAGAAGTAAAGAAGACTATAAAAATGATTTATGATGTTGGAATAGAGCATCTTAAAAACATAGGTCAAGATCAGTTATGAAGGACCTTGATTGCCATTAGAAGCATTCTGTCTGTAATTTGAAGCCATGGAAAATACTTAAGAAAAGGTAATTAATAATAAAACATGCTACAAAGCCATCTCCTAGGAGACTCTTACAATTCTCTAGAGAAGAGTTCAAGATGATTGGACTAAGGTATTGGGGAATTAAATGAATTCTAATGAATTCTAATCATAAACACTCTGATCCAAGTGATGTGACATATGAGTTAAGAATTGGTGACTAAATATTTGAAAGGCCCCAATATGTCTTCAAGTATATAAACTTAAACAATGGATGGCGTCATAAGATCAAGTTATGATATGTAGATAGAAAAAAAAAAAAAGACTGGTTTCATGTGTACATATGTCTGTGAACCTGCTTATGGTGGGGAGTGGAATAATAGTAGAAATAACAGAAGAATAAATAGTGAATGTTTTATAGTGTTATGTAGTGCAAAAAGCACCACCCCATCTCAATTTGTTCATTCATTTATTTATGCCACACATATTATTGAACTTCTACTGTGTTCTAGGCACTAGGGATACCATAATGAAAATAAATAAATAAAAATAGAGCGGAATGCCTGTGATCATGGATCTTACATTATAAAGGGAGGAGAGAAACAAAAACGAAACAAATGAGCTAAGTGTATAGCATATTAAAAGACAAACCTTATTGAGAAAAGTAGAACACAGATGGGGGACTGACAGAGTTTGGAGGCAGGTACATTTCAAATAGGTGGTCAGAGTATATGTCACAGAGAATATGACATTTGAATAAAGGCTGAAGTAAGGTGAGAGTGACACCCACTTGAATTAAAGGTCAAGGGCTAAGGATTTGAGGCAGGAGGGTGCTCAGCAAATTTAAGGAACACAAAAGAGGTCAATGTGCCTGTAGAAAAAGATAAATTAGGAAAAGATGTGGTAAGGGGAGTATGGGATTCCAGAGATCAGGTAATTTTTTTTTTTTTTTTTTTTTTTTTTACTAAAAACAAACAAACAAATAAAAAACAGGATGGAGGACCATTAAAAGATTCTGAGGAGTGTAACAGTGTTAACAACTTTTCCATTCCCGTAGTTCTGCAAGTGACAGGGAGGGTTACAGCTCATTGACTCCTGCAGTCAGCAGCTCAGTGGGCGGGAGCGTTATAGCTCTTTGCTTCCACCATTCAGAGAGTTCTGGGTTCTTGTGCCACAACCAATAATAAGGCATGCAGACTGGAGACGGTTAAGGCAGAGATTTATTAAGTGACAGAAAAGATGTCAGCAGCAAGAGGGGGCCCAAAAGAGGGTTGCCTGCTGTGGGGCTAGGTTTGGGGTTTTTATGGGCTGAGAATGAGGAAGAGTAGGTTGACTGGTCTATGAGCCGTTTTTGAAAATGCAACACTCAGGAAGAGACAGGATAGTGTAAAGAACCAATTGGAAGCAGAAGTGAAGGCTTGGCCCACAACCAATTGATAGCTTTAGTTACATTTCACTTTTTGCAAATGAAGAATTTGTCTGTGGCCAATCACAGAAAGATAGATATATGTAAAACAGATGAAAGGTAAGAGATAATCGGGAAGAAGAGTACAAAATGGGACAAAGGCACCAAGGGGAGAGAAATGTGCCCCCAAAATAGTGAAATTTCTTCATCCGGGCTCACAGAGTGGATGTTTCCATATAGGGATGTGGGCTTTTTCTTATCTGGATCCCGCAGCTTGATTTTCAGGCTGTTTTTGGTTTGAAGGAGTTCTACTGAGGACCTGCCCTGACTGCCTGACTCAGTGGTTTCTTTCTTCCTCCTCTCTCATCAGGATCTGGCTTATTTTTTTTAAGAATAATTTTGTCTACTATGTTGAGAAGATATACTGCAGTGAAGTGAAGGTGGAAGCAGGGAGATCAATTGGAATTTTATTGCAATGATCCAGGTGAGAGGAGATGGTACTGTGGAAAAACACATTGGTTGAATGGAACTTCAAGACTGTATTTAAACAGGAAACTGAAGTCAAATATTATATTAACCATCGAATAAATGCCAGGATCTTAAATTCAGATATTTGAACGCAAATCTATAACTTTTCAACCATTTAAAAAATATACGGATTATGGGATGTTTTGGAGACATCCAAGAAGAAATATCTAAAAATATTTAAGTCTATAGTTCAGCAGACTGGGTAAAAATGGAAACAAAAGAGAACTGAGGCTAAAAGAAGTTAGTGAAAAACTATAGGAATAGGAAAAGAAATAGCTGTAGACTAAATTAAAGAGAGAAGAGGGTGGGGGATGAATAGGCAGTCAAAAGAAAGAGGCAAAGAGGTAAGGGTAGGTCAGGCAGGGAGACAGAGGAAACAAGGTCCAGCCACAGATACAGGAGGAGGATGCATGGGGAAAGGAGATTTACTAAAGTTATGTGAAATTCTGATAACTGAATCACTCATGACAAAGTTCAAGCACAGTGAGTTCTAAAAATTTAGAGTAGACGCATAGGCTAAGGGAAAGATACCAGTAGAGAAGAGAGACTGGAGGCCTAAGAAGAAGGTGAAAGTAGAGCTATGTGCCGGAGAAAAACTTGTAGAGGTGGAATAAGAACTGAAACAATAATAGAAACACTTGCCCTGAGGAAAAAGGATGGAAAAATGAAATAGATCGATTTTTTTGCTGGTAGGGAAGAAAGTTAACATAGTCATAGTCGGTTGTGTTTTCTCAAAGAACTGAGAAGCAGGATTAGTTTTAGAAATCTGAAGAAGGTAGTAAGAGGTGAAGCCAGTGGGACTTCCTGGGTCGAGTGAGGACTTGGAGGACTTTTCTGTCTTAGAAGA